TGGGTTGGTTGGCTAGTTGGTTTTGAGACTGGGTCTCATGTAAAGAGCTCCTGACTCACTATGGATCTGTAAATGACCTTGAATTTCTGATCTTCCTCTGCTGTGATTACAAGCATTTGCCACCATACCCGCTGGTGTTATGCAATGCAGGGTATCAAACTCAGGGCTTTATGCATGCTGAGCTAGCACCCTTAACAACTGAGCTTTAAGTTTTTAAGTTTTTTATCTAATTAGTGTAGTATTTTGTGGATCAGAATCCGGTGTGGGCTAAATATAAACACCTGTCTTATCGATAGGTAATTTGTTGGGACCATTATTTTTCTAAATGAATATCCTAGATGCTGATTAGACACATAATATAATGGATTTTATGTGCTTTTATCTTTTCAAGTAATTTTCTTAGTTATATAGAAGGTTTATAAAGAAAACTAGGAAGACCCGATAAACCTATAGTATGTAATTTAAAGTCTGTTTTTCTTTAGTGATTTTTTTGTTAGCACACAGAATGTTTTACTTCTGGTCAGCATATTTATCAGTTGCAAGCTTTTTTGTTTTGTTTTGTTCTGAGTTTTTACCTCCCAACTATATGTGGAATGGGTACAAGAAAAGTAAGATTTTTCTAAATGTAACAAGAGTTCATCTTTTCCTCTCTTTAAAAGCATTTTTCGATGGACATGGTGACACATGCCTTCAATCTCAGCACTCAGGAGGCAGAGATCGAGGCAAGTGAATGTGATTTCAAGGCCAGCCTGGTCTACATAGGGATTTCCAGGACAGCCAGGGCTACATAGTGAGATCCTGTCTTTAAAAAAAAAAAAATCTTGGGCTGGAGAGATGGCTCAGCAGTTAAGAACACTGACTGTTCTTACAGAAGACCCAGGTTCGAATCCCAGCACCCACATGGCAGCTAACAACTGTTCGTAACTCCAGGGGATCCAACAGCCTCTTCTGTCCTCTGGGGGCATTGCACGGCATGGGTACACTTACCTGCATGCAGGCATAACACTCGTACACATAAAATAAAAATAGTATTTTTTTTAAATCTTAATTTAATTGAATGTTAGCGTATTCAAGTAGGGTAAGCCCTAACGGTGACACAAAGTAACTGTTCTGTTGATAAAGTAGATAACTTCATATTTTTAACATTTGCCAGGTCAAGTTTTAACTTGAATAGTATATTTGCAATGTCTGCTATATATTGTTTATTTTCCCCTGAATCTTGCAAATTGGATGTTTTAAAAGTGTAAAGGAAGTTATTGCTGATTATGACTGATGTGTCTATTATTCTCTGATCTTCAGTTTTCAGGCTTCCTTTGAAGAAGTGGAAAGATGATAGTGGTAGAGTTATTCTTAATCAGCTGTCATCCCAGAACAGAGATAAATGCTAAATAGTTAAAAGCACTTAATCTGTAATAGCATTATTTCCAAAATTCTTACCTTCTAAAATATGCAAAAGTTGCAAAACATGGTGAATAGGTAGGTGCTTTGCTCTTCAAATGTAAAATCAGCATATACCAGAAACATACATTGACACCTTGATGGTGTACTCAGGAAGGGACCAGAATGACTTTAGAGCTTACCTATATAGTCACCGAGTTTTCTTAATAGTACAGTAGCAATTTTAGAATATTAAGTAGTCATGGAGTATTATCATGCTTTAGTTGGTTTTCTGTTGCTCTGGTGAACATCAGGACCAAAAACAACTTTTGGAAGGAAAGAGTTGAAGGAAGGCAAGGTAGGATCTCAAGGCAGGAACCATGGAAGAATGTTGCTTACTGGCTTGCCTCCCCTAGCTTACTCAGTTACCCTCCTTATACAGCCCACACCCACCTGCCTGGGGATGGCACTACCCACAGTGAACTCAGCCCTTCTACCTCAATTAAAAGTTAAAATGCCTCACGGCCACAGGCCACTCCAGTGGAGGAGGTTCCCTCTGCCCAGGTGACTCTACTTGGTGTCAAGTGGACAAAAAACTAAGCAGCACATAATATATAATAAGTGTATTTTAAGATGTAGATCTACCTTTATCTAATTTTCATATTTTAAGCTGTAGCTGTGCTTTTTCACTCTACATGTGAAACTTCAAACTCACAACCCTCTTGTCTCAGCCTCCTAACTGAGTCCTCTTCCTTTACAGGAAACTCAGCTCTTTATTTATTTGAGTGCTATGATACGAGAACTGAAAGTTGGCACACGAAGCCCAGCATGCTGACTCAGCGCTGCAGCCATGGGATGGTGGAGGCCAATGGCCTCATTTATGTTTGTGGTGGAAGTTTAGGGAACAATGTTTCTGGGAGAGTACTTAGTTCCTGTGAAGTCTATGATCCTGCCACAGAAACGTATGTATTCACTTATAATTATCATTCCACTCTTACTATATTCTATAAGTTCACTGTGGGAAGATGTGAAAAAGCAGAAGGAATCCAACAGAAAATTCAGTTCTCGTCTTAAGAATATACGTACACTTGAACAAGCTGAGCCGATAGGAAATGCCTTGATCTTATCTCACATGGGAGCCCCTTTTTGTCTCGTCCTGCTTATCCAGTAAATATGAGTAAGATACAGTTGATTAATTCATCAAAATCAAAATTTTTTTTGAGAAGCTAAGAAATTTAAGGGAGGCTGAGAATCAAATAATTTCACCCCTAAGTAACAATTTTACTCCATACTGGTTCTTAGCATTAATAGTCACTCTCTTAGGTAGATATGTCTTTTGTGGTTTATATCTCCCAAAGTATGCCTGAATTAGTATTTATTAAATAATATCCTTAAACCATGTGGGAAGCAAATAACAGCTTTGTAAGCAAAATGCTAATCTAAGTATGGTAGTGCATGCCTGTAATCCCAGCACTCAGTAAACTGAGGCAGTTGGATTACCATGAGTTTGAGGTTAGCCTGGGCTACAGAGTGTCCAGAAATCAAAAACAAAACAAAACTAGGTAAGAGTCTCATTATAAAATATCATTTTTTTCTGTTTGTGCTTCCCATCTTTTTAAAAATTATTCAAGGAAGTATAACTCCATTTCCAGATAAAAGTACAGTTACCATTTTGTATTCTCATTTTTTTGCTCTGGTCATTACCAAGAAAGAGAAGCAAAACCACTTGTGTATCTTTTGACAAAGTATTGAAATGGAAATCTCTTGCGATCATCAAAGGCAGTGCCATCTATTGTTTTTCAAACCTGTATTTGTCCCAGGTCACACTGGAGTCCTGTGTACTTATCCTGTCCATCAGCCAGCAGTTCAGCTGTTTAGCCACACCATCTTGCCCTAAATCAAGCACAAGCATAAACATATAGACACACACAGACACACACATACACACACACACACACACACACACACACACATGAGGTTTTTAAAGTGGACTGCCCTCTTTACCATCTTCTACCTTACCTTCTTTGCTCAAAATCTGTCATAGCATACTAATTAAAAACTATGGTCTGTTTCCTTGTGCTACTGTATTCTTCATTTATGAAAACACAACTCAACCAGCTGTGGTGACGCACATCTTTGATCCCAGCACTTGGGACGCAGAGGCAGGAGATCTCTCAGGTATACATAGAGTTCAGGCCAGCTGCAGTTACAGGGAGACCCTCTCTCAAAAAGACCGAACAAAACCCTCTTTGAACCCATAACTATATAGATTTACAAATTTTACAGTCTTTGTTTTTTTGGTTTTTTTGAGGCAGGGTCTCCCTGTAGCTCCAGCTGGCCTGGAACTTGCTATGTAGATAAAACAGGCCTTGAACTCACAGAGATCAACCTGCCTCCGCCTCTGCTGGGAATAAAGGCGTGCACCACCCCACCTGGCTAAATTTTACAGTCTTTATTCAGGCCATATCAGTGTAAGTCAATATATTCTCAGTCATATAGCAGGGGTGAAAGTGTAAAGGAATTCTGTTGGGCCGGGGAGATGGATCAGCAGGTGAAAACACCTGCTCTGTAAGCAAGAGGACCCGAGTTTGGATCCCCAGCATCTAGATAAAAGACCAGACATAACTATATGTGCCTGTAACCCAGCAGTGGGGGAGAAGGGTGTGGAGACAGGTGGATCCCCAGAGGTTGCTTGATAGCTAATCAGCCAAGCTAGCTAAACTAGCCAAATGACCAACTTCTAAACAAAAAAATTCTTTAATCTCAGTATTTTTTTATTCAGTTTTGAGAATATATAAATACCTACAAGACTTAGCATCTCTTTTGTTTATGTTGTGCTTTTGTTTTAAATTTGATTTAACGTTCTCTTTAGTGCCCTTAAATTTTCATAAATAAGTTCTCAAAATAAATTTCATATGCTACTATTATTTCCTTACTAAAACATAACTAAAGTTATTTTTATAAGGTTTTGCTTTCCAACTCTGATATTTTTGGCTGTTTCATGACTAGAATATTTAATTTGCGGCTGAGAGATTAAGCTCGTGGAAACAAATGGCACAGTTAAAACAGTCTTGATTTTAAGAAAAGCTTTTGAACATTGAACTTCAAGTTGAAGACTAAGAGCAAAATGCACACTGTGCATGTACATTATAGGAGGAAGAGGGATTTGTGCTTCTAAACTGTCAGGAGATTTAGATATTCATGAACACTTGCTCTTTATATCATTGGTGTGTTTGAAGAAGAATGAGAAATTTAAATTGAATTTTTCTAATCCAAACGTTTTGGTAATGCTCTGTGGCAGTTCACTGTGTAGAGGGTCAGTGGAGAACCTAGTATTTACTGTCTTCCCATTTCCAAGCATGCTGGTCATTCACCTGGGTAAGCACATACATACATGGACATCTGCTATTTCCTGGAAAATGGGATCCCATGGTGATCTCCTGATATGGAGTGTGTTCCAAAAACAAGAGTGATGACTGTAAAACCATTTTTTAAAATTTAAAAATAGCCATCTTATAAAATGTTTATACCAAGTTTCCCTGTTCTGTGTTAGCTGTTAAGATCAGAAGCCAAAGTGCCGGTTGCACCCTGTCACAAGTGTTAGTCATGGGAGTATATACAGAAGGAGCAACTGACTCTCAAAAGTAGCCAACACAATTATCTATGTTATGTGTATGTGTTTAGCTATGTGTATGATAATGACTTTAATATGCTTCAGCACAGTGTCCACTTTGGTATTCTGAGTTTCATTATTTGTAGTAGTGGATATGAACACAATAATAATGATAATAAATTACTGGAACTGACAAAATGAGAGTGTAAATGTTTACCAGAACTGCCTAAGTTCTTACTGTACATTTAGAGATGGGCATGTGAAAGAGGAGGTAGTGACACACCTATAATCCCAACAGTTTGGGAGCATGGAGTAAGAAGATCAGAAGTTTGCTGAGCTACAAAGTGAATCCCTGTCTCTAAGTAAAACAAACGAACAAAAGAGATTTAATAACAAACACACCACTATGTGAACTTTTGGAAAGGCTGGGGTAGGAAGATTGCTGAGAGCTAAAGGCCAGCATGGACTACATGGACAAGTTTCAGTTCATCCAGGGCTAAATAGCAAAACCTCCACCTCCCCAATGCCTTAAAAAAAAAAGTCAGTACTAATTTATTGTCTATTAAGAGATCTGTTATGAGTTTATGTTTTACTTACACATAAATGTTCATTTAAAGTCACTTGTATCTGGGCATGGTGGCTCGTGCCTATAATCCCTGCACTTGAGAGCTATAGGCAAGAGGATCATTACAAATTCGAGGCCAATGTAGTTAAATATCAAGTTCCAGTTCAAGGGCTACATAGAGAGAGACCATGGTCTGCCTTCCCCCCAAATAAAGTAATGGAATTAAAGTTGTATTCTCCGCCTTTGTTTTTGCACCCATTTCAAAAATTATTGGAAACTATGTAAGAAACATTTCTTCTTCAAAAGATAACATTAATAACTTCCAAATTCCTTTTTTTAATTTTGTTATTTTTTATTTTGTTTTATATGTACGAGTGTAATGCCTGCTTGTAGGTGGGTGAACCCATCTGCAGTGCCTGTGGAGGTCAGAAGAGGACATCAGATTTCCTGGAACTGGAGTTAGAGTTACTGTAAGCCGCCATGTGGGTGCTAGGAATCGAACCTGGGTCCTCTGGAAGAGCAGCCAGTGCTCTTAACCACCAAGCCATCTCTCTATACCTTCTAATTCTTATATTCAATTAGTCAAAGACCTAAAGTCCCAGTATACCCAGCCTATAAAAACATTACCTATAACCATGTACACATCTGTTTTCTAGACTTCCAGACATCTTATGTCATGTATGTGCCACAGTAGTAAAGGAACATTTATTTAGGATAACAGACCCATCCTGTTAGTATGAGTCCTTTTTATTTCTTGTAAATGGATATACTAAAACCTTTTTTTTCTTTTTTCTTTTTTTTTTTTTTTTTCAGATGGACTGAGCTGTGTCCAATGATTGAGCCCAGGAAGAATCATGGGCTGGTGTTTGTAAAAGACAAGATATTTGCTGTGGGTGGTCAGAATGGTTTAGGTACATGATGTTAACTTACTACTCACTCAACTTTGCTGATTTTGCTGATAGTCTCTTAAATTGTTGGTGATTCTTGCAGTCTAGTCATTTACCACATATAGCAATATGTCTAACCGCTGACATACATTATGAAACATAAAATGTCCCTGTGTATGACAAAACAAAGTGTATATGTTTGTTTGTTTACCAGAACTGCCTAAGTTCTTATATACATGGGCATGTGAAAGAGGCGTGGTGACACACCTATAAGGCAAACCTGAGCTATAGAGTGAAACCCTGTATCTAAAATAAATAAGGAAAACAAACAAAACACACTTTGTGTGATAGTGCAGACCTACAATCGGAACTTTTGAGAAGTTTATGGTGGCTACACATAAACAGGGACTGTCTGGGACAGTCACAGACATTCTTAGGCATTTCCATAGGAATTCCCCAGGAGTGGATATCAACTGAAGAAATAATTGAGCAGTAGAAACATTTAAACTTAAAAAAAAATCTTTAAAAGCATTTCAGGATTTCAGGTAGAAGCTTCAGACCTTGTATCTAGGTTCTAAATAATCAAAGTTTCCTAAACATTTTAACATTGCATGTATTTATCTATACTGTTATTCTTTAAATGATTAAGTGTGACCTTTTTATTTTCTTAAATAATGCTAATAATGATATTAAATAGCTTAAATAATAAGAAATCTGAACTGAATCTAGAGATAGTCCTTCATTTTGTCCTTATTATTTGCTATTTATTATCCTTATCGTTATTTATTGCTAATTTCCATAAATTATTAAAAGAAGTAATGAAGAAAACACTTGAGTTGTAATCAAAATTAGTGAGATGGTAATACAATCACTGGTTAATTCTTTTTCAGGGTAGAACATTTTTAACTTTGTAGAAAAAATGATTCTGAAATATAAATTTCTATTGTATTTCAATGTGGGCAGTGATTGTAAACTCATATTCTTTCTATGTACTTGACAATTTTATTTTCAAAATAAAATATTAGAAAAATACAAAAATGAAGATGAGCTCTAAGAACATTTGTATAGTTTCTCATGTTTTTCATGTTATTTTATTCTTTTGAAGGTGGTCTGGACAATGTGGAATATTACGATATTAAATCCAATGAATGGAAGATGGTGTCACCAATGCCTTGGAAGGGTGTAACAGTAAAGTGTGCAGCAGTTGGCTCTATCATCTATGTCCTGGCAGGTTTTCAAGGTGTAGGCCGTTTAGGACACATCCTTGAATATAATACTGAAACAGACAAGTGGGTTGCCAACTCCAAAGTTCGTGCTTTTCCAGTCACAAGTTGTTTAATTTGTGTTGTTGATACTTGTGGAGCAAATGAAGAGACCCTTGAGACATGAAAGATGAGTGGACTCCAGCACTCTATCTGAGACTCAAAATATGGCCCAGTTCCTACGGTTTGGTTATGATGTTCTGGTTTGGTATTTTGTTAAAAGTTCAAATGAATGAAGTAAGAGTCCAATAAAATACTCTCATATTTTGTATGGATTTTCTTACTTAATTCAAAGACCATATTTTAGCTGGCCATATAATCAAGAACCTATCAGCCAGAAAACTTGAAAAGTTATAAGCATTTGTTGAAAATATGAGTTTCTTGAATGAGTTTCAAATGTATAGCTGATTCTGGCAGAGTGGGGCATCTTCATCCATGAAGTAGCCTCAGCTTAGCTCTAGATTCTATTTTCATATATTGTGTAAGTGCTGTGTAGTTAGGTCTGTTTGTTTCTGTTTGGTCAAGAGCTAAGTAGTAGTAATTCAAGATGGGCAACTCTGGTATAGTAACTGATAGTGTTACATAGTTTTGCTTGTCTTCATTTATTTCATTTAGTGCCAAATTGTTCCATTTTAAGGTTAGCAGAGCAACTCAAGGCATATATAACTTCCTCACAAAACTTCACACAAACAGATTTTGGGACTAAGCAGTATACCCAACTCTTCATGAAATATATTCAGTCCAATTAAATACATTGCCTACTTTAATGTAAAATATTAAATGTAGTACTTCACTATTTAGATTGTTTTACTCAATGATTTAAAAAGTGCTTTGCATCTTCAGTCTTCACTGAAAGTCAATCATAGTAATGATTAACCAACAAAAGAAAGCTATTTGTAGCAGACTTCTAGATCACAAGAAAAGCATTGATAATTGTACCACAGTTATGTTACGAATTTTTAAAAATACCTGTTTTCCCTTAGTAGAGCATATCACAGAGGTAATTGAGTTTTCTGTAAAAGTTTTGTAATAATTTGAGTTAAATATGTTATCTCTTTTATGTGGACATCAAATTATTTACCAAACATACTTCTTTCCTAGTAATGTTTTACCCTTTCATTGTATGAAATGTGCCATGTAAAACTGTCAGTCATCAATTTTTTTCTGATATTAAATATTTTTAACTTAAAATAGATTGCTCTGTTTATTCATTCTAAATGTGTTAATGTTTTTAAAATCTGTGAAACAGTGTTTCTATTTTAATTTTCATTTTACTCTGTGTGGAGGTTATAATCGATTCCAAGAATGTTTAAATTAAAAATGAATTTGAAAAATATAATAGGCTTATCTGTTGTTGTTTTATGTATGTTCAGCTTTATTGAGATGTAATTCACATGCCATACAATTTTCCCGTTTACACATTACCATTGTAGTGGCTTCTATATTCGGTGTGTTCAACCATCACTGTAATTTTAGAATGTTTTCATCACCCCCAAAAAGAAACGCTGTACTTACTAGCAAGTACTCGATATATTTCCCATTTATTAGCTTCCTCGACTGCTACAAACTACCACACAGTTAATGGCTTGAAACAACAGAAATGCACTCTCACCTTTTAGGAATCCAGGTGTCCTAAATCAAGGTGTCAGGATTGGGCAGAAGCACCATGCCCTCCCCTTGCTGCTGGTGGTTGCAAGGGTCTTTGGCATTCCTTTGCGTGTAGCTGTATCCCACAGTCTCTGCCTTGGTGTTCTCATGGCCTTTTTCTCTGTGTAACTACCACCACATGATACTTTCATAAAGACAACAGTCTAACTGCTAATTATCTGCAGCAATCCTGTTTCCAAGTATGGTCACATTCTGAGGTTCTAGGTAGACATATTTAACCCAGTACATCTCTATAAACATTCAAGCTTCAGCTCCTAGTTTTGACCTCTAGATCTGACTGTTCTGAACATTTTTTTTTTTTTTTTTTTTATGCCAGGTGTGGAGGAGCAAGTCTTTAATCCCAGCACTCAGGAGGTAGAGGCAGAGGCAAGCAGATCTCTCTGAGATCAAAGCCAACCTGGTCTACATAGCAAGTTCCAGGCCAGGAAGACCCTTTCTCAAAAACCGTGGTGGGGGGGGGGGGGCATGTGCACACCTGCTTGTGGCTCAAGGAAGCCAGAGGGCATCAGATCAACTGGAACAGGTGTTACAGTTGTGGGTGCTGGGAATTGAACCTGGGTCCTCTGCAAGAGAAATAAGTGCTCTTAAGTGTTGAGCCATCTCCAACCTGTTCTGAACTTTTTTTTAATATTTTTATTTTATGTGTATGCGTGTATTGCCTGCATGTATATGAGTGCACCCGTGTCGCAATGCCATGGAGGTCAGAAGAGGGCTTCGGATTCCCCTGGAACTGGAGTTAAGGACGGTTTGCAGTCACCATGTGGGTACTGGGAATCAAACCTGGGCCCTCTGCAAGAGCAGTCAGTGCTCTTAATCGCTGAGCCATCTCTCCAGCCTGTTCTGAACATTTTTATGTAGGATTTTTAATTTTGCACTATAAAGTGGCTAATGGGGCTAGAGAGGGAACTCAGTGGTTAAGAGCATGCACTGTTCTTGCAGAGGACTTGATTCCAGTTCCCAGCACCCATATCAGGTGGCTCACAACCACCTATATAGCTCAAGGGATCCTCTGGCCTTTGTGGGCACCTGTATTCAAGTGTACGTACCCACAATACAGACACATCACTAAAAATAAAAATCGGGCTAGAGAGTTGGCTCAGTTAAGAGTATTGGCTGCTCATGCAGAGGACCCAGTTTGATTCCCAGCATCCACAGGGTACCTAACAACCACCCCCAGTTCCAGTGGAATCCGATGCCTTCTTACCTCCTCGGGCCTTGCATGACATGGGTGTACTTTCATAGATGCAGACAATAAACTCGTTCACATAAAAATATTTTTTGAGACAGGGTCTCCCTGTAGCTGGCCTTTTGGAACTCACTATGTAGACAAGCCTGACCTCGAACTCACAGAGATCCACCTGCCTCTGCCTCCCAGGTGCTGGGATTAAAGGTGTGTACCACCGTGCCTGGCCATGAAATATTTTAAAATAGTAGTAATGAAAATTGGTTTTTAAATACGGCTAAATTTTTATGACAATGCCCACTTATTCCATAAATACAATTTTATTGAAAGGATAAGCACCCCTGTAGAATATGCAGCTTTTCTTAAAATATTTTAAATATACTTTCTTTTTAGGCTGTGTTAGCTAACTAGAACACAAGTATATTGACAGGTTTGATACAGCTTAGAGTCTCCTTCCTTCCCTCCCTTTTTCTCCCTCTTCTCTCCTTCAAAGTACAATTTTTTTCAAAAAGTTCCTTTAAAGTGCTCTGCTTCCATTTCAGTAGATATTGTTTGTTAGTGTTATATCCTTTGCAGTAGCCTATTTTGATGATACAGTGACTCAGTTTAACTTTTGAAAATCAACTTGAATATGAAAGTTTAGTATCAAAAACTGTTAAATAGTGTTTAAGGTTTTGTTGTTGTTTTTTTTTTTTTTTCTCTTCCAGGCAGGGTCTCACTGTAACCCCAGCTGGCCTAGAACTCACTGTGTAGAGCAGGCTGAGCTTGATCTCATAGAGATCCACCTGCCTCTGCCTCCCAAGTGCTAGGATTAAAGACACGAACCACCACACCTGGCGACATGAAAATTTTTGAGTCATGAATGCCAGTATCAAGATAAAATGTGCCATTTAATAAAGTTACTCTAAATGTATATTCTTTTTGCCTTACATGTTGCCTTGCTTGTTGCCTTACAGGGGAAAATGCACTGCACTAAGGCAAAGGAGATACTTACAGAATTTTTAGAAAAGACTGGTACTATTAACTAATACTAAAGAAGAAAATCAAATTTACTCCAACATGGCACCAAATCAGTTCCCACTAAGCCTCAGTAGTATAAAAGTTTGCACCATTCACACTTGATAAATCCTTTACCCCTTTTTCTTTATAGTTGCCTCGAAGACTTGTAAAAGTTTCACTTTCATCTTAATTTTCCTCTCCAAGATGACTCAGACTAATTTGGGAGAAAATGAAGCAGGTTGGGTGGTTCTCGATTGTGATGCCAGCACTGCCGTGGCTGAGGCAGGAGGATAACTGCAGTTTGAGACCAGCCTGCAATACATAGTGGGCTGCTCTCTCTCTCTCTAAAATATATGTTATTACTCTTCATATTTCTGTGACAAAAGTACCTGGCAAAAGCAGCTTAAGGAAGGGTGAATTTATTTTGACGTCATAGCTGGGAAGGAATGGCAGCAGGCGCTGGTCCCATTGTATCCACAGAGAACAGCAAGCCGCATGCTCACCTCACATTTGCCTATTTTATTCAGCTTGGGTCCCCACCCCAAAGATGGCACATCTCAAATTCAGGCTGTGTCTTCAATTAAAGCTTTCTGGAAACATCCTCACTGACAAGCCTAGAGGTGTGTTTTTGTTGTGATTCTAACATCTCACAGGCTCAGAGGTGTTTCTATGGTGGTTCTAAATGTTCTCGTTAACTATATACATATAATTGGGGGAGGGGGTTGTTGTTGAGACAGGGTGTCCCTGCAGACCCAAGCTTGCCTAGAACTCAGTATACTGACCAAGCTGGCCTGGAGCTCACAGAGATCCTCCTGCCTCTGCCTCCCTAGTGCGTGCCACCACTCCCCGAGAGGTGACTATATTAACCATCACAAATGTAAGCCTTACTGGAAAGCCTTTTGCTTTCTAGATCTTTCCCTTTTGTGGTATAATTTCATGAAATTCAAGATCTAGTTAGAATATTCTTGTTTAATGTTACACCGATAGTGTCCTATTTCTTTGACAGTTGCAAAGTTAAGAATATACTGTTTTCTGAAGCTGTGCACCAGGGGAAAGCGGGCTGTTTCTGTGTCTGTTCTCCAGAAACTTCATTCTTCCTGACACAATTTCAAATAGCACCATTTATGTGGACTTTTAACAGGGCTTCTCAGTGAGCAAGAAGGCTGTACCTACTCAAAGGGGCAAATTGTAATACTTTTCAGTTACAGTGTGTCCTAAAGAGAACAGTTTCCTGCTAACAGTTGGCTTTCTTCGACTCATTCATCCTGATAAATGGCGGGGCTGAAGTTGCACTTTTTCAGCCCGTTTACTTTCTCTGCGTTTAGAAATGTAAAGAACCGCTGGTCTCTCAAACCACAGCCAATCCTGCCCTCGGGGATTGAGGTTGTTTGTAGTACAGGACACCCTCTCATTTCCAACTTCAAACCGCCCTCCCGAAGTCTGCGCCCCGCCCCAGTTATCCGTTCCCACAAAACATCCGAGACCAGATTTTTTTCCCAGCCCGCTCCGCTCATGCGCGACAGGCTCGCTCATCTCAAATCCCATTGGCTGAAGCCCGCATCTCTCGTCGCACAGGGGGCGGGTCAGAGCGCCTCCTCCGAGCGCAAGGAGATGACGTCAAGTAGTGGGTCGGGTGCCTTCGGTTGCCGGGAGCGGCACGCAAGCCGCGGACGGGAAGACCCGGGTGCCCAGGGCGCCGCGATGCCGGTTTGTCAGTTCTTCCTTCAAGGCCGGTGCCGCTTCGGAGACCGCTGCTGGAACGAACATCCCGGCGCCCGGGGCGTGCCCGGGACCCGGCAGCCGCCGCCGCAGCAGTCAGGTGATGCTCCTGTAGCGGGAAAAGGCCTCGTGGGGGCACCGGGCTCCCCCTGCCTGAGCGCTTCGGGGTCAGGTTACGTGACCCCCACCCGCTCTGGTTGGATGTTGCCTGGAGTTGGGCAAGTGGGTCGAGCAGCTGAAGACTAGGATTTGGACCAGGTGCTAGTACTAAGCTCTGGAGTCTTTAAGTTAGGAGTATGTTGTACTAAAACTATTTCGTTGGTGCTGGGTAGTGGCTGGGAGAACTCGCGTGGCCGTCAGACCCCTTGCTTTACTCCCCTTCCTTGCTGTTGGTGACATGCTCTTAAAGTTTGTACTAAAGTTGGTAGCGCGGGGCCCCAGGTAAAGAACCCCACAGGTTTTGAGGAAAAGTGGGCCACACTGAGCTGCTGCTCCTCCTCTGATCTGAAGTATTCAAGGACAGGAGGGACCAGGCATTAGACCAATGGCACAACATAAGGGTTTAAAATTCAGTTAGATTTTATTTTCTGTTTTGGAACTTAGTTCTTTTTACCTTTTTTTTTTTTTTAAATCTTTGTGTACGAGTGCTTTGCCTATATCTATGTAAATACACCACGTGCATGCAGTGCCGGAGGTTTGAGGAAGGTGTTGAATCCCCTAGAACTGGAGTTACAGTCAGTTGTTACCCTCCGTGTGAGTGCTGGGAACTGAATCTAGGTCCTCTGCAAGAGCTGAGACAGCCCTCTTTACCGCCGCCCACCTCTTCAGCCCTTGATCTTAGTTCTTTACATTATCACTGGATGCCTTCTGTTTCTCCTTGACCTTAAAACTGTTCATCTAATCCCTAACCTTCTGACACCCTCTTCTGGCCTCTGGCTCCAACACTCATATGCAAATTACCCTCCCTCCCACACACACACACACCTCACACAATTTAAAAAATAAAATCTTTGGTTGTTGTTTTTTGTTGTTGCTGTTTGGTTTTTTTTAGATAATCTCACCTGCTATGTGTATATACCAGGTTGGCCTCGAACTCAGAGATTCACCTGCCGCTGCCTCTGGAGTGCAGGAATTAAAGGCTTTTGCACCATGCCAGGCTAAAATAAATCTAAAAAATGAGATAAAATAAAAGTTGGTCAGGTAGATTCTCAGGTAGAAAAGATAGATGTAAGTAAAACTTTTAGATGGTTAAAAAAAGAAAATGCTTCTGAAATTATGAATGCTATATGTAACAAAGGAAGATTATTTCTATCCTTTCATCCTCCCCCACCAAAGGATTTGGAACTTCACAAACAAAATACCATTAATTCCTACTTTAGAGATCTAGTTCAGCAGCCTCTTCTATTTTCTCTTTCTCTTTGGATTTAATGAAGTCTTTTAGAATTGGATGAACTTTCGTAACTCCTGTCATTCAATTTTTAAAATATTTTTATGTGTATGAATGTATTGCCTGCATGTATGTAAGCGCACCCATGTCCTCCAGAGCCTGTAGAAGTCAGAAGAGGGCGTCGGGTCCCCTGGAACTGGAGTTACCAATGGTTGTTAGCCACCATGTGGTGCTGGGAACTGAACCCAGGTCCTCTGCTCCTCTGCAAGAGTAGCTCCTAACCCCTGAGCCATCTCTCCAGCCCCTTGTTCAGTTTTTAATATATATATAGATATATTAATGTTATGTTTTCTACTTCAACCATCTCTTGGTCCTTAGCCTCAACTAGAAAGTGATAAGATTAAAGCCTCGAATGCAGGGGCTGAAGAGATGACTTAGGGGTTAAGAGCACATACTCTTGCAAAGGACTTGGGTTTGGTTTCCAGCTCTCGGTGGCAGCACACAACTATCTGTAACTCCAATTCCAGGAATTTGATGCCCTCTTCTGGCCTCCAAAAGAGGTCATAGCAGGTGTGTGATATACTTACATCCATTCAGGCAAAACACTCATACACATAAAAATTTTGTTTTTTTCTTCTTTTAAAAAGACAGTATAGAGACTGTTGGATCATTCTGATATTTATGAAGTATTAGAAATCTACTCTGCACTTTATCCATGTATAAGGGACCTCTAGTCTCCACAAGAAAGAGATGTGGGTATTGTGTTCCTGGAGGGAAGACTGAAGCAAGTGGATTTAAACTTCTATTCAAGGACAGAGAGTAGAATTTGATCTTTTTTTTATTGTCCAGTTTATTCATTGCTGTCTTCATTGTCTTATTTTTAAACTGTTGTCTTTGACCCAGTGAGGAAGCAACTTAAGTAATTAAAAACAGAACTCTACACACACACACACACACACACACACTCCAGTGCTAGGTCAAACCCAGAGCCTTGAGCATGCTAGGCAAAGGACTCCACCACTGAGCTCCATCTCCAACCAGAACACACAGCTTTTATTTTTAAAAAGCTTATAATTTAATGTACCCTCTATTCATTCATCCACGGTCAAGCAGTTTAATAGGCTTATAACAGTGGGACCTACCAATGTATCTTATTTTTCTATACATTGCTAGTCCTCTTGGTATCATTTTTTTTATGCAATTAGGTCATTATGTGGTTTGTTATTACACATAACTGTATAAATAAAAAATGAAGCAACTACCATTTTTAAGAAAGTAGCTGGGTATGGTGGCACACCTTTGATCCTAGTACCTGAGAGATAGAGGCAGGCAGATCTCTGTGATCATAGATGGAAGCCAGCCTGGTCTATATAGAGAGTTCCTGGCCAGCTGAAGCTACAGGGAGGCTCTGTCTCAAAGTAGAAGTGTCCTACTTCGTTAATTTCGCCTTTATATAATTTCTGTGTATAATAAGATAAAATGTAATGAAGATTTTCAAGATTTGAAAAAGAAGTTGCCAGTGACGTACTTTTATTTCCTTGTTTATTTTAGGTAATAACAGGCGAGGGTGGAATGCCACCAGCCAGAGATATTCCAGTGTTATCCAGCCCTCTAGTTTCTCCAAGTCCACACCATGGGGTGGCAGCAGAGATCAAGACAAATCATCTTTCCATGCTGGGGCTTCCACTAACAGTGGCTTTGGATTGTCGCAGAACCCTTTTGCTTCACCTAGCTCTGATGAGCAGAAGGATGAAAAGAAACTTCTGTAAGTGAAAGCTTTATACAAAATCACTACCCTCTTGCTCTCCCACCCCCAGAACCTACTGTGGTTTCTTTGAAAAAGAACAATGAAAAAATCAGCAAAAAAAGAAAAATCATCCGTGATCTTACCAGAACTAACCACTGTTTCACTGTTACTATCCTGAAACACTTGGCACTTAAAATTATGTCATCTTTCCATTCTTGGTAGCATGCATTCTTAGGACTGATGGTGCTTGTCTGCTTTTTCTGTTAGAAATATGTCAGAGATTAGTCCTGCTTCATTTATTGTGAACTCTGAGTTCTTTACAAAGTATCAGATAATTCACAACAGTTGTAACTTTGAAGATTACTGATATTATAACTTACCCTTCTTTAAAAGTTTTACTTCACTTGCCCTATTGAGACTGGTTTTGTTTGATTTCCTTCGTTATTGTGCAGTAGATCCCATGGCATTTCTTAATATTTGTGGCAAAATTTATGACTGAGTGCCAAACAGTACTTGACAAATGCATGTGATGCTTCTTAGTTCCTGACTCTCAAAGACAGTTTCGGTATATTGACTAGTCTTTTACTTATCATTACTAAATAGAGCAGGTGATAAATATTTGAGCTACGTACCTTTAACAGTTGTTTTTAGTATTTATTTTAAAGTGCTAGGGATTAAACCTAGGTCTTTAAGTGTACTGGGAAGCATCCATTAGTTTTCTTTGTTTTGTTTTGTTTTAGCTGAAAGAAGAGGTTTTTCCTATATTTATTGTGACCATAAGTTTAATAACAGTAGTCTTTGTAATATCTATCACTTTACTAATTGGCACATTCTAGATGGAGAGAAACAATCTCTAAGTTTGATGATTCTCTGTCAGTTAAAGTAGTACATTTGTTGTTCCTAGTTAAAATTAATATTGCGTATTTCTTAAATTTTAGTTTTCTTTAAAAATGTTATTTCTCACCAGGTGTGGTGGTACATGCCTTTAATCCAAGCACTTGGGAGGCAGAGGCAGGCAGATCTCTGTGATTTCAAGGCCAGCCTGGTGTTCATAGTGAGTTCCAGGCCAGCTGGAACTACAGGGAGATCCTGTCTCAAAAAGATCAAGAAAAAAAAGTTATTTCTCATAATTCTAGAGTGTATTGGGTAGCATTTCAGTTAGTTAGGAAACTAAAATTATTAGTTACTTTGATAACATTATTTGTAACCACAAAATACAAGATTATTCACTGGAATTTAAATTTTCAATTATTGAGCAGCATAACAAATTTTAACAAGCAAGTAAAAATATCCTTTACTTACTTATTTTTATGTGTATGAGTGTATTGCCTGCATGTGTATAAGCACCTGTGTCATGCAGTTCTCGAGGAGGTCAGAAGAGGGTGTTGGATTCCCTGGAACTGGAGTTACGAATGGTTATTAGCCACCATGTGGATGCTGAGAACTGAACCTGGATCCTCTGCAAGAGCAGCCAGTGCTCTTAATTGCTGAGCCATCTCTCCAGCCCGTTCATTTGTTTTTTTTTCAGGGAAGGAATTGTTAAAGATATGGAAGTTTGGGAATCATCAGGGCAATGGATGTTTTCTGTTTACTCACCAGTGAAAAAGAAACCTAATATTTCAGGTAACTGGGAGGTGGGTTGGTTGGTTGGTTGGTTGGTTGGCTGGTTGGTGTTGAATGCTTATTGTTGAACCCAGGCCCTTGTATATACTAGGCAGAAGCTTTACCACTCAACTATGAACCCAGCCAGGTAACTGTGCATTTTAAAAACATTCTGGGGCTGGAGAGATGGCTCAGCGGTTAAGAACACTGGTTGTTCTTGCAGAAGACCCAGGTTCAAATCCCAGCACCCACATGGCAGCTAACAGCTGTCCGTAACTCCAGTCCCAGGGGATCCAACAGCCTCTTCTGACCTCCACGGGCATTGCACGACACGGGTGCACTTACCTACATGCAGGCAATACATGCATACACATAAAATTAAAATATATATATTCTAAAATTGTTACTTTATAAAACTAAGACCATGTTAAATTATTACTACCTTAACAGTAGATCAAGGTTGGTCATTGTTTAAAGTATCCAAGTATTCCAGCAGAACTTCGTAATTCAGAGACTGAGGTTGGAGAATATAATTCTTTTAAGTTGCATTATTCTTGAGGAAAAAATAATAATAAAATCAGGATCTATCACAATTCCGATTCCATAAGCCCTGGGGGAAGCTCTGCTTTCTTGGATCTTTCTCTGAAACCTCAGAACCTCCTAGCTGCCTCAGTGTGTTGAAGAGTCCTGCTGTCCTTACAGCCTTGGCTACCTGCTTCTCATGGCTGTTTTTTCTTTGTCTTTCCTTCCAAGAATAGTTATTTTTTCATAAAACCTATTTGAGACAATCCTGGAGCTCATGTTTGAAGATAAGGAGTTTCAGAGGCAGTATTTCTTTAGAGTATATCTTTTGTACATGAACCCTAAAGTCTCTGAAACCTAGGCTACCAGGCTTTTCCAAGCATGCCCCAGGTAATCTGGGTCTTTATGAGTGTTGCAGATAGCATGTTATCTGTCTAGGGGTTACTGTTTGGTTCATTTTCTCCATCAATTAAAGAAAAGGCAGGAATCTCAGACCAGCAGAGAGCATCGGTCAAACTTTTACTGAAAAATAATCACATCCATACAGATAAAGAATTGCATATACATACACACATTTATGGAGAAACATCAAACTCTTCACAAGGGGAGTGGGACCCAGAAACTGACATCTAGCATCCCCAGGAGTTTTAAGGGTTTTACTGATTTCCACTTCTCTAATTTGAGATTGGTCAGCTTAAACAAAGAAGTGGACATTGATAGGCTTATGGCTACAAATGATGAGGTGTCCCGGTCTACAAGACTCTTAGTTGATGGGGCTCTGTTGGAATTAAAAATAAGGCCTTCCTGCCAGAGACTGAGAAGCAGCAGGAAGTGTGCCGTCTTTATTATTTCTCAGTGACCCTGTCATAAAGAAACAACAGATACTTAGCAGACAAGCCCTTGCAATCAGTCCAGAATTCTAGGTCTCCATTCCATGTGGTACTTTTGTGTTTGTATTTATATTATATCATGTCTTAATTGTTTTCTTATCCATTTCACAAATACTTTGTCATTTGTCATGGACCCTGATCTACATGCTAGGGATATAATGATAAGCAAGGGAAATAAGATTCCTCTCTTGTGACACTTATATTCTTGGGGAGGGCAATAAGAAACAGTGCAAATAGATAATTTCAGATAGTGGTATTTCCTTTCTTTTTATGTATTTACCTTTTTTTTGAGACAGTTTCACTATGTTATCTTTGGTAGCCTAGAACTCCCTGTGTAGACTAGGCTGGCTTTGAACTCACAGAGACCTTGTCTCAAAAAACAAACTAAAGAAACTTGTACTTTTCCAGTTCTGTTGCATTGTCAAAGAAGAATGTCCACATTTACCTGAAAAGGCCATTTGAGACTCCCTTTTCCAAAGCAGTATCTGTGGGTTGCAGTTTTTCTTCATATACTTCAACCATTTTGCAGTAGAATGAACGCATTGGCATATATAAGAATCTGTCAATCAGGTATGGGGACACAGCTCAGTGGTTAAGAGCACATACTCTTCTTACAGAAGACCTGAGTTTGGTTTCCAGCACTGTGACTCACAACTCCAGCTCCAACACATCCACACTCTCTTCTGACCCCCACATGAACATGCAGTCATGTGCATACACACACACACACACACAGAGTTAAAAATAATCTTTTTTTGAAAAGAATTAGGCAGACATTAACAAGATCTGCAGGCAAAGCAGTGCTGTTCATCTTACTAATCTTTCCATTTTTTTTGTTTGTTTGTTTTGGAAAATAAATGTATGTGGATACATAGTTGGTTCATTATAAAGAGGTAACTTCAGCAGGCATGGTGGTGCATGCCTTTAGTTCCAGTACCTGGAAGGTAGGGGCAGGCAAATCTCTGTAAGATCAAGGCCAGTCTGGTCTTCATCATGTGTTCCAGGCCAGCTGGGGCTACAAGGAGACCCTGTCTCAAAAAGACAGAAAAAAAAAAAAAAAAAAAATGATCATCTAGTTATCTAGTTTTGTTTTCTGCCTGCTTTTTTTTCTTTTCAGTGTTAGGAATTGAACCCAAGATCTAATGCATGCTAGACAAGCATTCTACCACTCAGTTACATCCCTAGTCTCCAGTATTTTTACTTGTTTCTATTACTAAAAGTTCTGGAATAAGCATCCTTATGCACAGCACCCTTTGCTTACATATATGTATAGTTATACATATCTGAAGTGAAATCCTGGAATTAGAGGTCGTAGTGTATGAACATTCAACACTTGTGATGCTCGTTGACCCCCAGAAAAGCTCCTTTAACATCTGTTCAGAAAAGTGTTTGCTTTACATCATGAATAACAATAAATACCAAGTGTTTTAAATTTTTGTCAGTCTATAAGGAAGCATTCTATTTAAAATTTAACTTTTATTTAACTAGCTTCTTGAAATGTTTATGAATTGCTTGTACTGTATATATCTTTTTCCATTTTTCTATCATTTATGAAAGCTATATATTGAGGATATTAGCACTTGTCATGTGTGTTGCAGTTACGGTTTTCTAATTTATCATGTGCCTTTTAAATTTGTTTATTGCAGACTTGATGGCATTTTTAGACTGACATTTGGATTATATGTAGTCAGACCTTGCCTTTGTTATTCTTTTCACTCCCCTTTACAGAACTCTACCGTCAAAGATAAAAAGCTATATTTTCTTCTAATTTTATACTTTTTTTTTTTTTT